GTATGTACATGTATTTTATATATATATATATATGTATGTACATGTATTTATATATATATATACACACACACACATATATATATACATATTTACACACATATATATATATATATAATATAATATACACTATACACGTGCTTCCATAATTCACACCTGAGGATTTGCCCCCTGGACAGCCAGCCCATTGACTCCGTCTGTGTGTCCTGCAAGTACATGCACACATGCTTTTGTGCGCATATCCCACACACGTGCAGTGCTATCTCGCGAGGCTGTGATGATCACATCCAATGTGGGATGCACCTGTTAGAAAAAAAAGGACAGTAGAACCAGAATTCAGGGACAATAGAGTGGGCAACGCAGGAGAATCCTGAACCTTTAAACAAAGGGACATATACTTGTAACAGCAGGCACAAGGTAGAAGAATACCAGAGGATTAAATAAAGAGAAACGTACTCGTAAAACAAGAACAACATCCCTAAACAAAGGCATGATCGGACCACAGAGACAGGTGCATGGCCTGTCCTAAAAGACTACATCTCAGGACACCCCCTCCAACCACAGAGACAAAAGGTGCATGGCCTGTCCTAAAAGACTACATCTCAGGACACCCCCTCCGACCACAGAGATAAAAAGTACATGGACTGTCCTAAAAGACTACATCTCAGGACACCCCCTCGGACCACAGAGACAAAAGGTACATGGCCTGTCCTAAAAGACTACATCTCAGGACACCACCTGTTGCTTACCTTGACATCATAGCAGGAACTCAAATGCCCGTGGTATGATCGGACCACAGAATTGGTCTCCAGATCCCAACATTTGACCATCTTGTCCTCGCCTACGCTGAACAGATAGGGGTGCCTGGGGGACACCGCAAGACCCGTTACAGCAGATATGTGTCCTGAAAAAAGGGGTTAAGGTGCACGCCAAAAAAGGGGGCAGAACGTGAGAGAAGCAATTAGCGCAATTGTGACATCATATAACAGGCGAATAACGATTGGGCAGGGTAGATAACGAAGGGGTGACATCCGCAAGGCCCTTTACAGCCGAGATGTGTCCTGAAACAAAATTTGGACCGGAAAATTAGGCCAGAATATGAATGAACAATTGGGTAATTGTATTCGGATCATTTAGACCACAGGGGACAAGCGGAACGGTAGTATTGGGGTGAGCGGGCAATTTCGATTATTTAGGGATCTAGGGGTTTAGGGGGTTAAAACCCCCACACGGCAACTTAGGGCGGGTGTGTGTGTTTGGTAGCGCCAAAGTGTGTGCAAATAGGACCACCCACGCGTGAATAGGTCAAGTAGGGGTGATCCGGTCACTAGGACAAGGCGAGGGACAAATACAGGTAGCCCATGACACTGACACCCCACGGCCAGATACAAACGGTATTGTGGTCTTGAAATAGAACAGGACAAAACTGACCCAAACTGTGAAACGGAGACAGAAATGGGTGGCCACTAGAGAACCCGACTGATAGCCGGGTGGTATGGTAGAGGGCGAATAGGCTGAGCCTGTGATGGCGGGTACAACACCCACTATAAGCGATAGGTAGGTAGGTATAAGGCCAATGGTAGGTAGGTATAAGGCGAACTTCAGACCAAAAAAAACCCAAAAAACAAATTGTCTTTGAGAGTGAGGCGACGGAATCAGTGGGAGGGGGCCTAAATGACCCTAAATGACAGAGCACAATCCATGCCAGCGAACTAGAGCTACGGGATCAGATAGGGCATCAAACGGGTATAGTGAATAAGAAAGGATACGTATATATTGGATGTAACTGTAAAGCCAAATAGGTGTAGGAAAGCAATGTGCATGAAGCACATGGGTTTAGGTGTTCAATCACCTATATATTATATAAATATATATATACATATTTATCAAATACATATACATATACACATACATATACATACACACACACACACATATATAAATATATACATTACAATGATGTCGAATAGGCTATGTCATATTCTTCGGATGCGTACTTGCAAGTGCTACTCCAGCGAGACAGCCCACTGCCGTAGTAATTTTAACGGAAACAACAATTATGAACATAGCCTTCTAAATCATACGTCTCAAAAGATTAAACATCCTACCCTCATCGCCATATCTTACTACTGACGATTGTTGACATTTATATCTACTTATTCATATACACACGTAATGGTTTTCCATCCCGCATGTGTGCATGCCAATTTTCCAGGAACTTTTGTCAAGTCATGGTGCTACATATATATATATACACATATATACATAATATATATATATATATATATATATTCATACATACTTATATATCCGTATTCACCGAAATATATTGATACCTGTGAGTGTCAGTTTCAAGGTGCCCGATGCCAAGTCCCATATTTTGATAGTACGGTCGTTGGCCCCTGTACAGAACCATTCGTTGGTAGAGTCCACATCGACACTTCGCACCCACCCAGCTGAAGGAAAGCAAATGCACATGGATACAGACGAGTTAGAACCAATTTCTGGAAGCACACGCAATATATGTGTGATCAAGCACTGAGTGCGTATGCGTGTATTCTGGGAACAGCAGAGCTAAGAGTATAGTATAAGGCGATAGTGTATAAGGGTATAAGTTAAGAGTAGAGAGAGTACAAGGCAATGCGTGCATCCAAATCAGATAGCGTGCATATGTGCGGACGCCATAACTGCTGAAATGTAAAGTGTCTATGAACAACGACAAGCACCAATCTATTTATAGCACATACCACGACAAGCACCAATCTATATATAGCACATACCACGACAAGCACCAATCTATATATAGCACATACCACGACAAGCACCAATCTATATATAGTACATACCACGACAAGCACGAATCTATATATAGCACACACTACAACAAGCACAAATTCCAATGTCCTTTACGCATTGCCAGGACTCGCACAAGACTACACAACTTCCTGCCATTCTATTTATAGCACATGCCACAACCCGCACAAAGTCACACGTTGGCCACACATTCTATTTATAGAACACACCATGTCCCGCAATAACCCGGTATAACTTCCAGGGTGCGCGCCACTTTGGCTTTGGCGCCACCGGCCCCGACCTCGGCACAAGCGCCGTATTCGTTTTGGTTTGGCTGATGAGTTGGCCGCCCTTTTTAGGCCCACTGGTTACTAGTTGTGTACTGTATGGCGTGTGGAGGAGCGTCGGATTAAGTCTAGGATATGATATTATAGTAATAATTATATTCTTGATAGAAACAACAAAATATGATACATATGAAGAATGTAGTACAATTTATAAAAATAATATAGCTCCCATTGAAAGGAAAGCTATGCATAGTATAGTATCAGGTGTAGCAGAGTACACAAGCGCGGCATTGGTGTCGGTATAGCTGATAAGCTGGCTATTTCTCTCTCGCCCCACTGGTTACTAGACGGGTATTGCGGAGTATATATATATATATATATATATATAATATATGCATACACACACACACACACACACACGCATA